ATTTCTTTGCGTTTTATCCTATCGAACGCTTGTTTAAAGTCGATGAATAGGGCCATTGTAGGTTTCCCATATTCGTAGCTTTCTGCTTGTATTTCGCGCAGTAGGAAAATTTGATCCACTGTGCTGCGCCCTCTTCTGAATCCACATTGATATTCCCCTATGTCATTATCTATATTTTGAGATAGCTTATCTTTTATATATACTGCAAGTATTTTATATGCAACATTTAGTAGGGCTATTCCCCTGTAATTGTGGCATAAACTTTTGTCGCCTTTTTTGTGAAAAGGGCACAGCGTCGCTTCGGTCCATTCCTTCGGTAATTTTTCTTGTTCCCATATGTCTTTTAGCAACTTTTCCAAATGCTTAATTAGTACTGGTCCTCCATATTTAAACATTTCGGCTGTTACTTCATCTCTTCCTGGGCTCTTATTATTCTTTAGTTTCTCTATTATTTCTTTTATTTCTTTTTCGTTAGGCGGTCTTTCCTCTATTCGTTCTTGATCGACATTTTCCTTCACTTCTTCTTCCTGTTCATATTCTGTTGTGGGAATTTCATTTAAAAGTTCTTCAAAGTATTCTTTCCATCTGCTCAATATTTCTTCGTCACTTACTAAATTTCTTCTACTTTTGTTTTTGTAGTGTACAGGTTTTCCTTGGTACCCCTTTTTCTCATTTTTCACCCCTTGATATAAGTTTCTAATTTCTCTATTTTTATAGCTCTGTTCTATACATTTTAATTTATCTTCATTGTATTTTCTTTTCTTTGATCTTATTATTCTTTTGGCTCTTTTCCTTTGTTCATTGTATTTTCTCTCTATCTCTGTTGTTTTTTCTTGCATCATTTTCATTCTTAATTTATTTCGTTCATCTAGTTCCATTTTACATTCATCGTCGAACCATTCTTTGTATTCGTGTTTTATATTTCTATTACTGGCCTGAGCTGCTTTGGTCATACATACTTTTATTTGCATCCATGTTTGTTCAATATCCCCACTTTCTGCAATATTATCTAATCCTCTACTGACTATTCTTTCATATTTATTTTGTTCCTCTTCTGTCAGTAATCTCACAGGTTTAGTTGCTTTATACTTTTTCTTCCGCTGGTTTCTAAGCACTGGAATAAGTTGTTTCATTTGTATTCCAACTATAAAGTGATCTAAATCTGCATCTGGACCTCTGTATGTTCTTATGTTCTTTATACATTTTTGCATATCTTTTTCGACAAGCACATGATCAATTTGGTTTATGGTTTTTCCATCCGGTGATCTCCACGTTCCTTGGTGTATTCTTTTGTGTTGGAAGTACGTGCTCATAATGATCATATTTCTTTCTTTCGCGAAATTAATTAGGAAGTAGCCATTTTCAAAAATTTTTACCCTTTTTTTCCCATTACTATGGTGTCTGGGTGTATTGGGGTGTGCATTCCAGGGTGTATAGGGTCTTTACACACACCGTGTATATTGTTCTTACCTAAGTGCCTTGGCACCTGTATGCTCTCGCCAGAGTCCTAACCTAAAAAGCGTACCCTCTCGCCAGAGTGTTTTTTTGGTGGTGTTTTCTGATTGGCTGCATTCTTCTTGTTTGACGACTTTGCGACCATCTCATTCTTTATTTAGTCGTTTGGGATCCCCTATATCCGGCTATTTGCTGTTTAGGTCTTCTGTATACCGTCCTGATATTTTCGTTGTAGTTAGTCAGCTCTCTTAACATAATGCTTGGGTGGTTGTTTAGTCCGTTAAATAGTTCGTGTGCTCTCTTGTCTAGCATGTGTAGGATTCTTGTTTGTCCTGAGTCTCTGTATAAATTTCTCAGAGGTACGTATTTTGGTAGCTTCAGGGCATCTCTGATTATCTGGTGCTGTGTTGTCTGTATTTTTTTCCTGTTAGATTTACAGGTATGTCCCCACTCAGCAGAGGCATACGATAGGACTGGCAAGATGATGATATTTGCAATCCTGATTTTGGTTTTAAATCTCAGTTTGCTTCTTCTTCCAATGAGCGTTGAGAGCTGACTTTTTTATGTGTTGGGTGAACGTCAGTTTCTTGTCGAGCAACACCCCTAGGTATTTTGCCTCGTTGTTCCATTCTACTGGGGTGTTTCCAATCGTAATTTCTCGGTTTGGTACACTTCTTCTGTGACTAAACATTACAGCCTGTGTTTTGTTAGGGTTTAAGGCTATTTTCCATTTTATGCACCATCTTTGGAATCTATCCAGTGCTCTCTGCAGATGATTAGCTGCATGATCTGGGTTTCTCCAGCTAACAGCTATTGCTGTGTCGTCAGCGCAAAGATTCAACAGGGATCCTGGTTCTTTTGGCGTGTCGGCCGTGTAGATAGTGTACAGGTACGGCGATATCACAGCTCCCTGAGGCACACCTGCTTTTAGGGTGAGATCTTGCACTTTTACCGACGAAATATTTATTCTATCGGAAAAAAAGAGAAAGAGGGCGAAATAAAAATCACAATTTATGAAATATAATTTTTACTTAAATAGCTTTGTTGAACAAACGTTATTATTTAAAAAATAGTACAATAATTCGTTACATTTTAAACATTTCGAAAACGTTAACAGTGTATTTAAATTGACATAGAAATAAACCTTATTATCAAAAAAATAGTACAATAATTCATTACATTTTAAACATTTCGAAAACTTTAACAGTTTATTTGAAGTGAAATAGAAATGCTAACTAACAATAAAATATAGTTTATAGATTATAGTTTATTCGATTTTTTGTCGATTTGCACCTAACCTTAGAAGTGGAATTAATGAAGATTTGATGAAGGCACTAAAAGGAGAGATCTGACAGAGTTCCACAAGAAATCTTGAATATAATTATAGAGGAAAAATACCATTGGTGAAATAAATCATGAATGACATTACTTATTCCAAATCTCGAAGAACCGTCGAAGGAAAAGAAAAATGTCGGCCAAAAATATTACATACTTAAGAGTGATACTGGACAGTAAGCAGATATTTGGCGAACATATCAAATATATTAAAAACACGGTCGAAAAAAGAGCAACGACGTTGGCAAAAATTATGCCAAATTTAGGAGGTCCAGTACTGTAAAACGAATGATTCTGAGCAAAGTGATACACTCGGTATATACGAACCAGTGTGGCATGAAGTAACGAATAAACAAATACTAGAGAAAGCCCAAAGAGAAGTCCAAGTAAGGTTCGTTTGCGACTATAGAATGGCTTGGACGTTAGCCATACATAGCTTGGGAATCATCAATACACCTGCAGTTAAAAGAGGAACCCAAAATAAACGGAAAGAGCAGTCAAAAGAAAACAAACGCAAGAAAAGTAACCATCACCAAATTGTAGAAAGAGTGGATAAACACGCAGAGTGATGCATCGACAAGGACTCTGATGAAGGACACGAGCTATTTAGAACATATCTTGAGAAGATAGACAAGACGATAGAAGGTAGCTGTGTGGACTGCGGATTAAGCGACCCAGCAGAATGCTGTGTGGATACAGTACAGTAAGTTTAATAACGAAATGCGAAGCTATATGCAAAGGTAAGCATCTTTGGAGCACACAATTTTGTGACTATAGTAGGAAAGATGAAAATAAGTTTGAAGAATTGCTGGGAGCTGTGACAAACATCCTTAAAAGAAAATAGCTTTTAGAAACATAGAGATAACACGGATAAACCTAAGTAATGCAGAAAAAAAGAAAGAGAAAAGGGAATTCTGTAAGCAAATATATCCAAAAGAAGACAGATATAATAGATACAGAAAATATTATGAAGAAAAATATATGACAAAGGAAGAAACTTAAGAAACTGAAGCAAATTAAACCATTGAACAAATAACAGAAAACGAAAACCAATTGGAAAACCAACAACTGGAGAATTTAAGAAGAAATGAGTGCAATGAAAGTAGGAGAAGCTAATGGAGCAGATAACATTGATCCCGAAATGATAAAGTAGAAAGTGAAAGAAAGACAAAAATTGTTGCTGGAAATAACAAGCATAGCAAACAAATAAAGTGGATAGAGAAAGGGATGTGGTCGCAAACATCACTCAAAGATAAGCATCTTTAGAAGAAGAAGAGAATGGCAAGGCAACTGTCTGATTCCAATACATAAGAAAGAAGAATATGATATCTGCAAAAACATTTAGATATTTCTAAATGAGATTATTAGAAAGAAGGCTAAGACAGATGCTAAGTTGAATATCCCTTATAAACGAAAATATCAATAACGAAATAAAATATTAACCAATAGAGAAAATAATAGAAAAAAATAAAACTGTGGTATTATGATCACTGAAATAATCTACAATGAACAAGAATAGATAAGTGTTAGAACCAACATAGAGGGAAGAAGAAGAAGGGGTGTGACTGGAAATTGGTAAACTGAAAATTTCAGGAAGTCGATAATAAAAGAAGGAAAACATCGCAATGCTTGAAAAAAATGGCAGAAGACAGGAAAGCGTGGAGGAACTGAACACAAGATGGATAATCGCCATAAATATCCCATGCTCTTATAGACCAATCAAGTTTTTCAATTCAATCAATTATAGGGAATAAGTAATGCGAGATAAGTACGCATTGAGTAGGTATCAACGACAATGTTTTTGCACAACACCGACGTACTGGATTTCATTAGTACAGGGAACGATTGCTGTAATACGGGGAGTCGAATTCAACAGCCTTTAGTAAACAGTCAAGATTCTGTTTAGGCATTCACGATGAGTTCGACAGTCCTAAACGAAGACGTGGTAAACAAAGAAGTCCGAAGTGATTTGTGGAAAAACTTGTTGATGCCACTGTTTAAATTATAGAATTATGAAATACCATTACTTTTTATGACATTATGGCCAGGATTTATCAGAACTAAGATAATTATAAATTATGAGATACAAGTTTGAGTACCAAGATCGAATTAGATTAAAGTGAATATGTAAGTAATACCTAAATACTAAATATACTATATAAATACTAAAATTTAAGCTTAATTAACTGCCATATATAAATTTTTGTAAATTATTCATTTTTAGAGCCCCCTTGGACCTGCACTTCTGCTTCAGCCATCCTAAAATTGAAATATTGTTTATATTATTTGATAAAAAAATGTTATACAAGTCAAAAACAAAAAAAATTGAAAATTTAAAACATAACGAAACTCAAAATATCAATATTAACTAAACACTGACAATAAACATGGGAAAAAAATAGGCGAGCGGTTTACCCCTATAAGCAGAGCATCAACCGACTAAAATTCTTTTTGCATTTCTAATGCACCAATATGCACCACTAATGCATCTATAGCAAAAGAGGACCAGGAAGAAGACGCAACTCCTGGCTTAAAAACCTACGGCAATGGACGAACATGGCCTCCATAGAACTATTCAGGGCTGCTATAAGATTAAATGGGCAAATGTAATGGCCAACGTCCTTAAGGATAAGGCACCGTAAGAAGAAGAATGCACCAAACCTTTTTTATTCGATTCTATATATTTTTCCAAGATGAAATGTATTTTTTTTTAATTTTTTACAAGTGGGCCGGCAATTGTTATTAACAAATAACTTATACAAACAAGCAATTTCACCGAATTGCTTCGGAATCAATTTTTTTAGGTGTATCTCATCAAATTAAACACTTTTTCTCTCATGATAATTTTTCGAAAAATGCTTCCTTTTCGAGTTATTTGCATTTTGTTGTTGAAAAAATGCCTTAATTAGTGATTTTTGGGATTTTTTTTTCTAAAAAACTACTAAATGAATTGCAATTTTACAAATAGCTTTATAATCTTTAAACCGTCGAGTACAAGTTAGAATATTTTGACAAGGATAATTTTTTTCTATCTTACTAAAAACGTGGAAAAACAGTTTTTTAGAAAAAAAAAATCCCAAAAATCACAAGGCATTTTTTCAACAAAAAAATTCAAATAACTCGAAAAGGAAGCATGTTTCGAAAAATTATAAAGAGTGAAAAAGTGTTTAATTTGATGAGATACACCTAAAAAAATTGATTCCGAAGCAATTCGGTGAAATTGCTTTTTTATATTGCCGGCCCACTTGTAAAAATTAAAAAAAAAATACATTTCATCTTGGAAAAATATATAGAATCGAATAAAAAAGGTTTGGTGCATTAGAAATTCAAAAAGAATTTTAGTCGGTATATTCTGTTTCTAAGCGTCTTTTGAGGGGTAAACCGCTCGCCTATAGTCAACTAGCCGGCAATAGATAAAATGGTAAGATATTTATTGTTTTATTTTAGCACCCCACCCCTCCCCCAGGGCATATAAGAATTATTGGCAGGCCAAGAAAAAGATGGTGGGACAATTTAAACAATTTAGGAGGGTAATATTGAAGAAGAAACAGGCTTTGAAGTCTTCATACTAGAAGGAAGAAGAAGAAGTCCCCTTTTGGTTCTAAGAATTCTACCGGAATCGATCTTGGGCCGGCGCATTAGTAGATATGGTTCTAACTGGATATATTTTCACATGCCAATGCTGAGAGAGAAGACATTGGGGGTGTTTGAGTCAGGAAATGGGCTTAGTCGTCGTTTTCAAATATTTTCGTTAAACTTCCACCTAGACGCCTTATATATATATATATATAATATATATATATATAATATATATATATTATATATATATATATATATATATATATTATATATATATATATATAATTGAGCAAAATGGAAATATGAAAATACTCAGAAGAAAGCTTTGTGATGGTAAAAAGGAAATTGTTAAACTAAAAGACAAGGAAGGTAATATAACAACAAATAGAGAGAGAATAGTAGAGATAGCAAAAAGCTTCTATGAAGAATTATACAAAAGCCATTTAACAGAAGAAGACAAAACACAAATTAGAGAACGCAGAGTAATGAACCAAGGATCCGAACTTCTGCCTACCATAACGATAGAAGAAGTGAAACGAACTCTAAAGGAAATGAAAAACAACAAGGCTCCGGGAGATGACCAAATAGTAATAGAAGCTGTTAAAGTAGGAGGCAATAAACTGCTGGAAGTAGTAACTGAACTATTCAACCTATGTCTAAACCAAGGTATTGTCCCTACAAAATGGAACAATGCAATTACTATCCTAATACACAAAAAAGGAGATATATCAGACCTAGAGAATTATAGACCGATAAGTCTGTTGTCACATCTCTACAAATGGTTTACCAAGATCATCACAAAACGTTTAGAACGAAAATTAGATTTCTATCAGTCTAAGGAGCAAGCTGGGTTTAGGAAAGGTTATTGAACAAATGACCACCTACAAGCACTTAAAATACTAATTGAAAAATGTGTTGAATATAATAAACCACTCACGTTGATTTTCATAGACTTCAAGAAAGCTTTTGATACCGTGGAATTACCGGCAGTATTAGGAGCATTAGAACAAAGCCGAGTAGACTATAGATATACAAATTTGATAAAACATATATACAACAACGCAACAGCATCTGTTAAACTCCATGACTTTACCGATAAATATAGAATTGAGAGAGGAATTAGACAGGGCGACACCATCTTCCCCCAACTATTCTCTGCAGCTCTGGAATATGACTTTAAAAAACTAGATTGGGCTAAAAGGGAGAATAAATATTGATGGTGAATACTTAAGCCACTTGCGCTTTGCAGATGATATTGTCATTATAGCCGAGAGTTTAAATGAAGCTCACAAAATGATGGAAGAACTAAAACAGGCAATACAACAAATAGATCGAGGGTAGATGGGAACGAAGTACATCAGGTCTTTAGCTATATCTATTTAGGGCATGAAATTAGAATAGGAAAAGACAATCAAACTTGCGAGATCCAGCGTCGTATAGGCTTGGGATGGGCAGCATTTGGCAAGATGCGAGATATTCTAAAAGGAACGCTACGGATTTGCTTGAAGAAAAAGGTTTACAACCAATGCATACTGCCAGTAATAACATATGGTTCCTAAACAATAACTTTAACCAAACATTCTGCAAATAAATTGAGAGTAACCCAAAGAAAAATGGAAAGAGCAATGTTGGGAATAACTAGAAGAGATATGGTACCAAATAGGATAGTGAGAGAGAGGACTAAAGTGACAGATGTCATAGAAAAAATTGCACAAGCCAAATGGAGATGGGCTGGACATATAGCACGTTTAAATGATAATAGGTGGACCAAAAGACTCATAGAATGGAGACCTAGAGAAGACAAAAGACACCGAGGCAGACCACCAAAAAGATGGATGGACGACTTGAGAAAAACAGTCGGAAATTGGATACAGAAGGCGCAAGATAGAGAACAGTGGAAGAACATGGAGGAGACCTATATCCAACAGTGGATGCAAGAGGTTGAGGAATGATGATGATGAATGACCCTAAAATATATATATATATATATATATATATATATATATATATATATATATATGTGTGTATATATATATATATATATATATATATATATATATATATATATATATCAGCAGCAGATCGTGCTGCTGATGTGGATTCGGACCATAATCTAGTTGTATCTAAAACAAAACTAAAATTAAAAGCCAAACTTACTCATAATCCTGTTCATCCCCTTGTTCCGGGATATTCTCCTTATCCTCCATTGGTACAATTTCAATATTGTAATCACCGATCTCTTCTAGGTTTTGCCTCTTAAAAAATATATATGAATTTATTAAAACAAATATTTATATATATAATCGTTATAAATAATTGACATTTTATGACTAATTGAACGATAACCAAAAGCCAATGAAACACGAACAATGTTTTGGAGAAATTTAAGAAAAATTTTAATTAGTTTTAAAATTGTTTTTAATTTAAAAAAAAGTTAAAGTTGGTATGTGTCGTTTTAACTGACAAGTACGACGTGTTAAAAATCGAGCAGGGAGACATGTAGTCTCTAATGTAAAAAATTTTATCCATTGTCATGGACCTAGAGTCACAACATAATTAAAATTTGGAATGATGTAAACCCATATATGGATGTCACACCCACAACTTTATTGTTAGCTTCAACTACATAAGGCACTGAGGATGATCTGTTCAGATCGAAAACGTTATGCTACTACATAAATTTTAACGACACTTTTTTAAAAAGTTTTAACTATATGTTTTTATACCAAAATACAAGTGCGAAATGTTATAACTTCTGTATGTTGTTTTTAAGTTATTACATTCATTTATAACTAGTTCAGTACATAGAGGCCGTTGACTTTATGTTCCTACATTGGTGATGAGGTTCTTGGAGTTGAATAACACATTTTTGTAGCCCTCTATATATAAGCGATCAAGGGTTAAATCAATTGTTATTTTGCTGTATTTTGTATATTGTGTATTGTAAAAAAAAGTTCTACGCTTTGTTCGAACAAAAAAAAATGCATTTTTGGTTATGTGCAGTCAACCTACGGGTCTATCAAAAAAGCTAGCAGGCTGGCAGCTAGTGACATATCACAGTACTAATCATGTAGATCTAGTTCTCGGATGCCAAGATTCGGCAGATCGATAAATAACAATGATGACAGGGCTTCTCAGGTCGTTAACCAACGAAATCCCTGCTTACTAAAAATACAAAATTCAACTTTTAAAATAGCGACATGAAATGTTAGAAGCATGTATAAGCCTGGTAAACTAAGGCACATAGAACAAGAAATGATGCGACTTAAGATCGACATATTGGGAATAAGCGACACAAGATTGATCGACTTTTCTACTCCAGTAGTATCGACAGCCAACATCTGTATGGAGAAGCAATTAATGTCAGTAAAAAAGTTGCAAAATCAGTTGTAGGCTTTATACCAATATCGGAAAAAATATGCTAATACAAGGACAACACGGAATAACTCAACCGATAAAACAGACGAAGAAATTGAAAAATCTTACGATAACTTTCAAAAAAACCGTACAAAATACAACATATAGAGATATAATAGTAGTCATGGGTGATTTTAAAAAGTTGGAGAAGGAAGATGTTAGTCTACTGTAGAACCATATGGACTCGGTGTTCGAAATGAGAGAGGAGTGCACCTTATAGAATTCTGCCTAGCACATAATCTTGCATTCATGAATACTTTCTTCAACCTGCCTAAACGACGCCTTTACACTTGGAAATCGCCAGCTGACAAGGTCGATAAAATCGTTAGAAACCAAATTGACTATATTTTAATAAACCACAGATAGAGAAACGCAACACCATCGGTGAAAGCGTACCCAGGTGCAGACGTGGCGTCGGACCACAACCCTCTTGTAGCAAAATTCCAACTTCACTTAAAAAAGATACAAAAAAGCTACAAAAGTGATAAACTAAACATCCAAAAATTAAAAGCAGAAGACGTCAAAGAAAAACAAATTAATGTAAACCTAGAATCCACACCGGAATCTATTGATGGTGATGAATAACAACAGATGATGGCAATGCTTTAAAAATGCAATTATCGAACCAAGTCGCAGAGTACTCCCAGACCAACCAGATTGAAGAAAGGAGATTACAAAGATGCTTGAATGTTAATCGAGATCTTTATGTATGCTTTATAGACGACAACAAGGCATTCGATAAGGTAAAACATGACATAGAAGTACTCAAAAACAAGAATCTGGATGTGAGGGATGTAACATTGATATCAAATTTATGCTACAGCCAACGATCAAATGTGAAAATTGGAAAAGAAGTCTCAGAAGAAGTGGAGATAAGGAGGGGGGTCAGGCAAGGTTGCATGCTGTCGCCGTTATTGTTTAATGCTTATTCTGAAGAAATCATACAAGAAGCTATTGTGTTGGTATTTCTTTTATTTTCTATTGATTCGTATATCTCTCGTTTTTTTTGTTTTTTTTTTTCGTGTTTAAAATTTTGATGTTTTCGAAGTCAAATTTATTTTATTATTATTATCCAGATTTCACTCATACCAGATAGATACCTATTTTCACTTATTATTATTATCCAGATTTCACTCATCCCAGAAAGATACCTACGGTATCAAAAGGATTGAGGTCTGGTGGGACTCTTTCCGTGTTATCGAGCCCTACGTGACTTGGTATGCTGGAGTATCTCCCAAAAATTTTCGTACACATCGGGACGTTGAGAGTAGTACAGCTTTCTGCATGGTCTTATAAAAATGTTCATTCAGACCTAGCTTTTTTATATTTTCTAGGAGGTTTGGAATGACTCCAGTAGTAGAGAGAATAATAGGTATTGTCTGGGTACTTTCTATTTTCCACTGTCTTCGTATTTGAATTTCCAAATCACTGTACTTGGCGATTTTTTCGTTCTGTTTAACACGAAGATTATTGTTGTTGGGTATCGTCACATCAATTAATGTTGTTTGTCTCTTTAGTTTATTAACTAGTATGAGATCTGGTCTATTATGTGCCGCTGTTTGGTCTGTGAGCACCGTGCGATCCCAGTATAGCTTGTAGTTGTAGTTCTCAAGTATACTCTCAGGAACATATTGATAATATGGAAGATGGTTTGTTTGAAGAAGTCCCAGTTTGATAGCTCTCTTGATGAAGGATCTTTCCTACTGAGTCGTGCCATTCCTTATATTCAGTTGCAGCAAATGCCTGGCAGCCTCCTGTAAGATGTTGGATCGTTTCTTGGGCTTGACATCCATATCGGCATTTGGTATAACCTGATCCTGAATGGCGAGTAATGAACCTTCTGTTTCAGGGAACATCTTTCCTGATGTCAGCCAATAGTTCGACGCTATATTGTCGACATAGTCTTGACTGACCTCATTCGGATGTCGCCCGTGTAGAGGTTTACCCATCCAGATGCGCATTTTTTCTTTCTTAGTAAGATGGTCTATGCGCATTTCTTGTTCCCTCAGTTTGATCGGTGTTGTATCATCTACTGCACAAATCGCGCGATGAAGAGTAGATGTCTCCGCCTGCACCTGAAAATAAGTTCTTAACTTAGTAACCTGTTTTTCTAATTGCTCGCTTATATCAATAAGTCCTCGTCCTCCTAAATACCGCGGTAATGTCGTTCTTTCTACTGCACTTCGAGGATGGTATTTTTGTGCTTTGTGAGGTGTGTTCGTACTTTTCTCTGAAGAGTTTCTATATCCGTTTTAGTCCACTTAATAATACCAAATGAGTAGCTAAGCGCGGAAAATGCATAGGTGTTTAATGCCTTAAACAAATTTTTACTATTAAGATGTGAGCGGAGTAGCTGTTTTACTCTTCGTATGAACTCTGATGTTAATTCGATTTTCATTTGTTTATGGTCAATTTTCCGCGCTTGCTTTACTCCTAGATATTTATACATGTCATTTTCGCCCATAGCCTCGATGTTTTGGCCATGTTGCATATCGAATCCCCCGGGCTGAACCTTTCCCTTAACTATATTTAATACACGACCTTTGTCTAACCCAAAGTGCATACTGATATCTTATTATTATTATTATTATTATTTATACTTTAATCTTACTGTATATAAGGGCCTTAAGCCCTCCTGATAGCGATGAATGACATCTTTGAAAATTCGCATATTCAATATTTCTTCTGGAGAAGGCCGTCTGATGGGGTTTTGTGATCTCATTCTCTTGACTAAGTGCCTAAGTGGCACACAACTTTCTAAAAATTATTAAACAGAGGTATTCATAAAAATATTATCTAGCTGTATAAAGTATAGCCAACTGAATGGCCTTTTTTTAATATTTTTGTTGCTGCGGTGAAGGAAACTTACTCGCTTTAGAGGATTCTGCATCCTGAATAGAATTTGTTAGACTAACTCCCAAGGTAAGAATGTCATAAGAATCAGCGCGATTTCTAGTACTTCTGCGACGTGTACGCCTAACCGGCTGTAAAATAAATTGAAAATTAAGCTCGTCTAAGATTGTTCATTAAACTACATATACAAAATTTTGATATTGGATAATAACAAAATTCTAATATGATATACAGGGTGTCCCAGATTAATTTACCCACGCTATATCTCTTAAACGAATAGAGATTTTCGAATGGGACAAATAGTGATCTATTCTACTTGAATCATCCCCTAAACATTCATCCCTTAGTTACAACCCCTAACTTTAATTTTTTTAATAGCACCCTTTATATTTTTTTATAGTTTTGGATGTGGTCTTCTATCGTCTATTCAACAGATTTATTAAAAATAAAATCGGTTTGTAAATTATCAAAAAATCAATTTATTTTTTATTTTTGTTAATTAAGTGTCCCAGACTAATTTATCCAGGCTATATTTATTAAAAGAATATAGATTTTTTAAAGGGATAAAAACTGCTCTATTTCATTTGTAATACACTTTAATATAGCCAAGAAAAAAGCATCCCCTAAATATTCATCCCTTAGTTACAACCCCTAACTTAAATTTTTTAATAGAACCCTGTTCATTTTTTTATAGTTTTGGATGTGGTCTTCTATCGTCTATTTAACCGATTTTTTTTTAAATAAAATGGGTTTGTAAGGTATCAAGAAAATATCAGTTTATTTTTTATTTTTGTTAAATTAATCAAGATAACCTTAAAAAATAGAATAGAAAAGAAATATGCTTTATTGTCACTGAAATTAGATAAATCGCCAATATTAAAAAATAAAATAATGAAAGTAAAACAAAAACATTGCAAACTTTAAATAAATTTCAAATTGAACATACTACTCGTACAAATAAAATACAACCTTAGGAACAATAAAA